ACATGTCTGGAAGCAGCACAACCAGGGGAAAAGCTATGAAAGGAAGCGGACAGACCAATTTGGAAAGATTTGATAAGTATTCATGGACAAAATATCATTAAGATCAGTCTGTGGTTCTGATATTTTCTTAGGCCTGCAGAGAAGGCCTTGCAGCCCCTGACGTCCCACCACTGATAAATCCATGTCCTGGAAGGAGAGATTTTTATCTTTAACCTGAACTAGTTTGGTGTGTTTATTAAATCAAGTTTTAAAAAGCCATTTTCAGTCAGGGGCAGGGAGACGAGCTGAATGAGGAAAGCCAGAACAAACAGGAACATAGACATAGAGAAACAGGAAACAATGCTAAACCAAAATAAAACACAGGGAACACGAACGCAAACCCAGAAACGCATTCCTGATGAACACATTCGTCCTCCTCAGGTGGTTCAGCTTGTTCGAGATCCTCGGGGAATCCTCGCCTCTCGCATTGAGACGTTCCGGGATACGTACCGACTTTGGCGGCTGTGGAGAGCCACCGGGCGTCGGCCCCACAACCTGGACCTGAGGCAGATCAGCACCGTGTGCGAGGACTTCCTGGAGTCCGTGTCCACAGGCCTGGCCGGGCCCCCCTGGCTCAAAGGGAGGTACATGTTACTCAGGTGAGTACTGGTTGTGTAGAATGGCAGAAGAAGGGTATAACGGTGGACATATCTAGGACTTTTAACTCATTGACTGGCAGCCATTTTCAGAACAGAGAGTCGCTCACTGCCAGAGTTTTTTTTAGCATTTTGACTGATTTTTCAAGAGCCACAGAATAGTTTGTACTATGACTATGTACACACCGAACACACCAAAAGAAAGAGTAGACTCTGTTCTTTCATCGGGAAAAAAAAAATGTTTCTACCTTATTCCGTTCTTCTTCGACGTGCGTCTCATCGGCGACATGTTCTCTCATAGAACCATTACCTTTTTCTTATTTGCCTACAATCTATGCTCATCTCCCATCAAAAGTGGCACAGCCCCCTAGAGGGTAAAGTACATACTCTGTCTGTAAGCCGATATTTACGGAAAAACTTTAGCCAATCGTTCCCCAAGCCACTCGCATTGAAAAACATAAAAGACGTCTATAGACGTCTTTGGCAGTCAGCGGTAGGATTTGAATTGACGTCTATAGACGTCTTTGGCAGCGAATGAGTTAACGAGACCAAGAGGCCATAAAACAGAAAACCAAGCAGAGAGAACAGTACCTCTAAGCCTTTCTGGTCAGAGGGCAAATAGTCATTTGATTGCTCGATTGATTGGTTGAATACTTGATTGATCTCACACGGATAAATTAGCTTCCAGTACAAACAGAACACATAGACACACCAGTTCGGGAAGACCGTGGGCATCCACATAAGGGTGCATAGTTTTTTTTACAAGACAAAGATACATCAGGAAAGTGGTTGTGGGACTTTGCACTTTTATGTGGGACCACTGTAATGTCCCCCTACCATCTAAATGAGCAAATTTAGTTGGTCGTGAACGTTACAGCCAGAGTAAAGCTTGGCAAACATGGTGTGTCTGGGTTGGAAACGGTTTCCTTTTTTTGTAAATCAGGATTTTAACTTTTACCAAAAGACCTGTACAGATTCCTGGGCCAGGTCACGTTACCAATGAGAAGATAGCCAAAAGTTGTGTTATGTTCTGTAAACAGATGATGTCTGGAGTAGCGACAGAAAAAGATCATCCCAGTTGATACGGGGGGGGGCAGAACCACTCTTTCTGTATTTTAAACACTACCAAGCACCTTTGTTTAGCCCATGTTTTATTCATTTTATTTTTTTTGTTTAGCCCATGTTTTTTAGTTTTTTTTTGTTTAGCCCATGTTTTTTTTTTTTCAGCCCATGTTTTTTTGTTTTGTTTTGTTTAGCCCTTTTTTTTTGTTTAGCCCATGTATATTTTTTTTGTTTTTTGTTAGCCCATGTTTTTTTTTTTAGCCTATGTTTTTTTTTTTTTTTTTTTTTATCCCATGTTAAAGGGGAAATAGGGATTGTATGTAGGTATTGTAACCCTGACCCTCTCGACTGGTTAACTTCCCTTCCCTTTTTCCCTTCATCTTTACAGGTATGAAGATTTGGCCAAGTACCCCCTTCAGAAGACCAAGGACCTGTACCGGTTCCTGGGCCTGGCGTTCGACCGCAGCGTGGTGGGCTGGATCCTGAACAACACGCGGGGCAGCAGCGACTCGGCCTCGCGGCAGAAGTTCACAACCGTCCGCGACTCCGCCGCCAACGCGGAGAACTGGAGGCTGAAGCTGTCCTTCGACATGGTGCTCCACACCCAGGCCGCCTGCCAGCCGCTGCTGGGCCTCCTGGGGTACAGGACCGTCCTCCACCCGCGGGAGCTGAGCAACCTCT